AAGATTAATGAGAAGATTATATTGAGTCGAGATATTATGATTAATGAAAATTTTGTCTGGGATTGAAATTCTAGCAATTCAATTAATAAGCCATTAATGAACTTTGATTTCGACGAAGAAACTGATGAAGTAGAGGTTGAAGGAATTGTTGAGAATCCAGTCAAAGTCGAAGAAGAAGCAGTTGGTGACACTCTTGACACAGTCGAAGTCGAAGAGGTTGTGGCTGAAACAAGCCAAAGACCTCAAAGAAATAGAGTTCTTCCAACAAGACTTCATGATTATGAAGTGGTGGGTGATGATGAAATCACATCAGATGGAGAATTAGTTTATTTTGCTTTACTTGCAGGTGCTGAACCAATCAACTATAGTGAAGCTTTGAAGATTAACAAGTGGAAGTTAGCTATGGTCGAAGATTTACAGGCAATCAAAAGAAACAACACGTGGGAGTTAGTCCCCAGCACATACAAAAGCTATCGAAGTAAAGTGGGTGTTCAAGTTGAAACACAATGAAGATGGATAAATAGCAAGACATAAAGCAAGATTAGTAGCTCGAGGTTTTCTTCAAAGAGTAGGACTCGACTACTCTGAATTATTTGCTTCAGTAGCAAGATTAGAGACTGTTTGACTAGTGCTAGCATTGGCATGCAACCAAGGTTGGTCGACATTCCATCTAGATGTAAAATCATCATTTCTGAATGGTCCTTTAGACGAAGAAGTTTATGTCACACAACCTCCTGGGTTTGTGATTCATAAGGAAGCGAGTAAAGTATATAGATTTCACAAAGCGCTATATGGCCTCAAGCAGGCACCTAGGGCATGGAACAAGAAGATCGACTCATACTTAGTTGATTTGGAATTTGTCAAATTCAAATCAGAGTATAGTGTCTATGTTCAGGTTGTAGCACAAGATATAACAATCATTTGCTTGTATGTTGATGACTTGCTAGTAACTGGAAATAGTTTGGAGAACTTGTCGAAGTTCAAAGAGATGATGACGAAGGAATTTGAAATGTCAGATCTAGGAAAATTGTCTTATTTTCTAGACATGGAATTTAAAATGTCGAAGAAAGGTATGGTGCTACATCAAAGAAAGTATATCAAAGAGATACTCAAGAGATTTAGAATGGATGATTTGAATCCTGCATCCTCACCTGTCGAACCAAATGTGAAGTTGGAGAAGAATGGAGAGAAAGACAAAGTCGATGCAACTTTGTTCAAGCAAATTGTGGGATCTCTGAGGTATGTATGCAACAGTCGACCTGATATAGGTTTCGCAGTCGGATTAGTAAGCAGATATATGGGTGAATCAAGAGTGTCACATATGAAAGTTGCAAGAAGAATCCTGAGATATTTGAAGGGTTCAATAAATTGTGAAATACTATTTCGACGAGATTCTGAAGGCAAAGAAGCAATAGTTAATTATTTTTCAGATGTTGATTGGTGTGGAGATAAGGAAGATCAAAGAAGCACAACTGGATATTTCTTTCAAGTATTTGGTGCCCTAATCTCATGGTGTTCGAAGAAGTAACCTGTGGTGGCATTGTCATCGTGTGAAGCTGAATATATAGCAGGATCCTATGATGCATGTCAAGTAATTTGGATCAGACCTGTACTTGAAGAAATGATTGTCGAAGTGAAGAAACCTCTAGTATTGCAAATCAACAACAAGTCAGCCATAAATCTGGCGAAGAATCCAGTTCTGTATGAAAGAAATAAACATATTGAAGCAAGGTTTCACTTCTTGAGGGAAAAAGTAAATCAAGGTGAACTTGAAGTTAGGCATTGCTCAAGTGAAGCACAGTTGACCGACATTTTCACCAAAGGATTGAAGATCGATAGATTTCTGAATTTGAGAAAGAAATTAGGAATATTTCAGATTGACTATTTTTAAGGATGTTCGACAACTTGGATTATAGGGGTGTGTTGAAATATTAGATTAGATTTGATTTGATTAGATTTAATATTTAAATATATTTCAAGTTGTGTTAATCCAAACTCAATTAGAGTTGTATATAAATAGTCATAGTGTGTATCATTATTTGTACAATTTAATAATACAAATCTTTATTTCTTTTATTATTCTCTCTTTCTCTCCTCACTAAAAGTTTCTCACGCACTAACAGATGATACGGTCACATCCCTCAACGAACACGTGGGAAGTTGCCCAACGATCCCTAACTTAAACTACTTGTCTTTGGATCTTATGCAAGAGTATTGGATTGAATCTCTCTATCAATAGAACAAGTACGGATCCAATTCAAATCAAGAACTAACTCACAGAATTGCTTAATGGAGACTAAGAGTAGAAAAATGAATTGTGGTCCGACTACTCGCCACAGTCCACCCCACGACACCTGCCGTACCAGCCCGTGGGCCACAATCTGCTTATGAGTTGTTAAAGAAATATATAGGACAATATTTTAATTGAATTAAGGATCATGTTTTTCAATTATCTTACCAAATACTTCCTTTCTATTATTTTAGCATTTTTCCCGTTTGCCCAAATCAACTTTGCCTATGTTGAAAATTTCAATTTTGGTACGGCAATTTCTTATCTCTATTTATAGTACCATCTATATAGTATTTTTTTTGGGTGTCTTATGTTGGGCTTTGTTTCATAGAATAACAAAACCCATGTTATACATTGGAGTGTTGTTTAGTATGTTTGCGTGGCACGTGGAGGATCATTATTTTTACAAGTATAGTTGTATTAACTAGTTATTATAACAGTGAAACATTATCACAATCAAATAATTCCTTCTCTAGTTGCATTTTAGTGATATTGATATATTATAGCATTAACTATCAGCATTGCGGGGCATTAAAAACATGGTATGGTATCTCTGGTCATGCAGCTTTGGAATTTTAAAGGATAGCAAGAGAACATGTGTATATCACTGATATTAAAAAAATGGAAAAAATATTTTAAAAAAATAAGTAGATAAGTTTGTATTAAAATTTATAATGGAAGACAACGACAACTTCTGATAGTTTTTCATTAGAGATTGAATTAAATGCAGAGGAGGACGACATGCTGAAATAGTATAAATCTCGATATACAATATTTTTTATTTTATCTCTTTATTTTGGTAGAAATTTTCATACTTTAGGTTCATAGTTTTTTAGTAGTGTGTATGATTTAAGGCTTAATTCATGTTAATAGGGAATTAATAATTAAGCATAGGTCTATATTAGATCTTGTCTTATGAATAGTTCTTATTGCTGATTCTGTTAGAAAATCATAATTTTATATTATTTTTTTATTTAATAAAGTTACATCCAAATATATTCGTTTGAATCTATTTTGATTAACTCTCACACTATTGTTCGGTCAAATTCTTCATTATTTTTCCTTCCCTAAAAATCCTCTGAACATTAACCTAAATTGTGTAATTTTTCTAAAAGCTCTTCAAATTTGCGCTGTCAAATTTTGTTTTTCAAAATATTTTTTTTAATTATCTTTGTAAACCATAGTTCCCAATTCTATCGTTTACCGTCGCACATTGTGTTAAATTCACAAGTGCACTTACATTTTTCTTGTGCAAAGCTACTATAATTTTCGTAGATACAGTAATTTTACTTGCCACTCTTTGGTTTTTATTGGTACAATTACTACAATATTGATTTTTTTACTCCAACAAAATGGCGATGTTTTATAGAATTGGTTGATATCTTCAATAAAATAAAATAAAAATGTAATTATATGCGAAATTTTAGAGCATTTTAAATTTTATTTTAATTCTTATTTTTTTATTATTTAAAATTTTGTTTGAAAGATAATAGTGAAGGTGTTTGTTTATTTAGTTTATGCACAGTGCAAAGTCAAAAAACTTACCATCTAATTTAAAAATTGATAGAACCACAAAAAAAAATCCAATAAACTAATCAGCCAAACAAGAAATAAAAAGGATAAACCTTATGATCGTACTTTAGAATATTTTTTCCTTATTGGTTTTTAAAGCCTTTGGTTCCTAAAAAAATGAGATTCTAAAAATTTAGAGTTTGATCAAGAGATAAGTATGATCTGGCTAAACATTGTTCCCTCAAGATACTCTAGAATGTTTTAAACGTGATATTGTTGACAAATAATTAGAGTGTGAATTCCAACTAGCGACTTCTTTTTCTTCTTCTTTTTTCAACTTGTGTATAATATTTATTAATGCATTGCAATTCCATAAATTCAAACCAACAACACGAAGTCACAAAAATAATGTTTGGTTTTCACTTTGGATGTTGTGTTTTTGGACTTTGGGATCAAATCTAACTAAGAAATAGAGTTAGGTAGAAAAAATAATATTATTTTTTTTGAAAGTAGTATTTGAAAAAAGAAATAGATGATGAAAAGTCATAATATGTTGATAGAATTTTTTATTGATTTTTACGAACTCTCCATTCTTGTTTTATTGGTTTTTAATTTAAGTGCATATTTTTTTAAATAAACATAAATAAACAATTGTCTTAAATTAATTTTGTTAACATATATAAAATTTAGTGTATGACTTTAATTCAATTTCGACTTTAAAGTTTAATAAATTCTTTGAACACATAAATTTAACAAATTATATTAAAATTTTAATTTATTTTAAAATAAATAACTGCAAATTATATTAAAATTTTAATTTATTTAAAAAAAAAGTGATGTAGTGTTAAATTATAATATTTGATTGGTTAAGAGTATAGATACCTAAATAAATTCAAGAATACTAAAATGTCACCATTTTTGCTTTTAATTGTTGAACAAAGTATGAATTTAATAAAAAATGATTCAGCGTTAGATTCTATAGATTTTCAATATTAAACTGTAAAATATTTATTAAAAAATCAAATAATTAAAATTAAAAAATAAAATAAAATCTATCATAAACACTCAACAATCATGCTCCTCCCTTATAGATTTATAACTAATTTATAACTAAAAGTTAATAAAATGAACTAACTAAATTAAATAGTAGATCTAAGAGATTAAACCAACATGAAATTAAGATTAAGTTAAGGGATCAATGGGTCTAATTAGGTCATTCACATATTTGCTTAGTAGAAGACTGATTTTCCTTTGGAGCCATATGGAAGCTGCCACTTTACGATCCATCATTTTATTAAGAAGTTTCTTTCCTTCCTCATCTTCCTATCAACATTTTCACATCATTTGCAATTTCTTGCCTTGCCTTTCAATCAACTCATTATCACCAACCTGAGGTCTCCTACTTTAACCTCTTCACTAACCAAAACAGCATTCATGTTTTCCTCTGCATAAAGTGGCCATGCGGCCAATGGAAACCCGTTCACAGCCCTCTCAAGCACTGAGTTCCAACCGATGCGAGAAGAAAAGGAAAGAAAAAGGAGGCTACATGAATTGAAACATATAAAACGTTTAACATAACTACATCGCTAAAACATAACTACTCTTCCAGCCGACATTTCTCAAATTTACAACAAAACTTCACACAAAATAATCAAAATGTAAACTAGATTCACTCCTGAAGAAATTTCGAAACTAGTGAAAATTTGTAATCATCCATCAAAAGATTTCTAACATCTCTGATTAAAGGAGTTTAGTAGCACACACAAGTGCTTTCCCCTTATAGACTGTACATTATAAGAATCAAATTCAAAACAATCCAGAAGCCAAATCCAAGATAATCCCCATCCCAAAAAGAATCAAAACATCAGTAGCAATGAACAAGAACTCAATCAGCCTGCTCAGGTGTACCAGCTGCTCTACCATGGTCATCATCTCTATCTCCTTCTCCATCTACGTCCCTCCTCGTTCCAAAAGAGAATCCAACTTTCAACTTAATGCGGTTATTAGGGTTAAGCCCAAAACACACATAGCACATTAGAATGAGTTGCAAAAACAAACTCTTCCAACCAGTAACATCAAACAGCATCGCCACTACTAAATAAACCAGTAAGCTACACGCTAACACGCGATTGGAAACCATAACTTCTTCGACGCACAAACCTTTTATCACCTCGGGATTTCTCTTGGTCTTCACTTCAAGTTTACCACACAGCACAGCAAATCAGTACAAACTTTTCAGCCTCCTATGTTCTAATCCACAAAAGAAAGAAAAAAGGAAAGGAAATAAAATTAACAAAATCTTATAGTAAATCTCGTTTAACAAAATCATATTCAATTCAAGTTTTTTGAACCGAAAACAAAATTGAAAATTGAGGAAAACCCATTGAATTTAACATGCTCAATTAGTCATATTCATATTTGATTAAAGATTTAAGGTCTCAATTGCATGATTTAAACATAAAGGGAATTAGGGTTCTTGATAAATTTGGGGAAACAGAGAATTTCAAAAATGGAATAAACTAGGGTTCTTGAAATTAACAAAAAAAACATCCATCAACTTGAAACCCTAAATTAACATTATCTGTACAAAATTCAAGATCCAAAATCCTAGGTTCAAAGCTATTATAGTTCAATACAGTCACGAATCGTTCTGGAATCCAAGAAAATAGATAGTAAAATGATAGAGGGGAAAGAAAGAGTCATGCATAGTCGTCGGAGATTCTTACGGAGGTGGAAGAAGGTGTCGATTTCGTTCGGAAGCGGTGGAGAAACGGAGATAAGCCGCCGGTGATGGAGCGGCGACGCAAGAAATGGTGTGGCCGCGATTCACGCTTTTATTTCCCGCGCCGTCTTATGGTGATACTTTTTTTAACAAATACTCCCTCTTTTATTTCCCGCACACTTTTATTAAGGTTTGCGTATTTATAGAGAAAAAAAAGGTTAGTGGTGTTTTTGGGTTCCGGTAATACGGTCGTTTTCTAGATTTAGGTTTAGGGTGTTTTTAGAGGGATGGTGGAGATAATTGATTTATGTTAAAATTGATTTTAGTAGAATCAGATTTTTTAGAATTGATTATTATAGAATTGAGTTTAATAGAATTAATTTATGTTTAGATATATTTATATAAAAGTGAGTTAGAAATTATAAATTTTAATTTTAAGTAGAATCAATTTTGTAAGCAGAATTAATTCTATTTTTAATAAAACAAACACCTGAAAATTACTCAAAATCAATTATACACCTCTAAAATTAATTATGGGTCTTTCAAAAATAATCTAAACATACTATTAAAATTTTTCTAACATGATATAAAAAATGTATCCACGACAAAGTTTGTTTAAACAAGTGTGAAAAGATTCGGTCATGTTACGAGCAATTAGGGTGATATGATAAAGGGGTATTAGATCATGGGTAACATAAGTGAGTTTCTATTCCTCCAAATCCAACAAAGACATGCACAAATATGTTACAATAATTATCTATTACTCTATTATGGAGCTAATTGTTGACATTTCGGTTTGTGTAAAAATCCACATTAGTAAAGCTAATAAGATGTCAAAATGAAGGAAATAATGATACGTTAAGCCACAATGACGGCATAAAACAAATGTGTTCATATTATGGTGATGTAAGATGAGAGGATGAGAATCGAGTTGTGTTTAGCGAGCCAACAGAAGAACTTGTATTTTTGTAAGAGATGAAGCTTTCAAATCCAAGACAAAAATGAGAAGTAAGATGGTTAATGGTTTTGTCTGTGCTTTTAAAACCTTATAAACTAGAAGATTGAACAATGATGTTGTCCCTAGATACTATAACTCAGTAAATTTGAAGCACTTCTACAATTAATATTATTTTTTGAGGTTAATAGATGGAATGTGTAAACCACTATTACTTTTTTTTTTTTTGTATTTATGATTCAAAATATCAATATGATAGTGTGACACTTTTTTTGCAAGGACGTGGATTTTTAATGAGGTCCCCTATTTACTAAATTTGTCTTCTCTTGAACTCCATTATTGGTCACATTCAAAATCACCACGTCTTCTCAAACATCATTGTTTTCTTTAGAGTATCATTGCATATTTCAAAATATCATTGCGTCTTTTGGAGTATCGTTGCGCCCTCTAGAATATCAATATGTCTTCAGGTGTATCATAGCACCATACGAGTTATTGTTATTCTTGAAGCTCACCTGAATTGATCACGTCTATATCGTAAATTAAATTGCAAAAAACAAAGTTATACTGGCAATGGCTCACCCTAAACACAAACATACAAAACTCTATAAGTACAACAAAACCCTAAAATGAATTACTCACTAGGGATGAAAAGTAAAGTTTCATTAACATTAAAACCTTAAAAAATAGCCTGAATAGAAAAGTCACACAATTACAACAAAAATAATTACACATAACAATATTTAATTTTTTAGCGTAATGAGTGCGGTCTCCTCATATAGGATGGGTCTTGTCTGGTCTAGGATGGATCTAGTATCTTAATTAGGAATGAGTGTAATCTCCTAATCTGGAATAGGCAATGCTCTTTCTCCAAAAAATGGGGTTGCCTAATCTTTCCCCAACTTCTCATCCTGAACTAGAGCTCTGATGCCAATTGAAGGATGAGAAAACACTTAGAAAAAGGGGGGGGGGGGGGGGGTGAATAAGTTTTTCCTTTTTCGCACGTTTTTCTAATGGAAGGACACAAATATTTTTATCCTGGTTCGTTTGAAACTCAAACTACTCCAGTCCACCCGCCAAGGTGATTTCGCCTCTCTCAACGAGGACTTAATCCACTATAATCAAATTGATTACAAATGCACAACCAAACTGTTGTGACTAACAATATAATGCACAAGCCAACTGCAAGTGACTAACACCTCTAAGACTCAACTAGTCCTAGCCCTCTTGAGAAACCTGACCCAACTGGTCTCTCAAGGAACACTTACAAAAATCATCTCTTAATAATAGTGAATCAGGGTGCTTCTAATAAGCTGTATCACAAACTGTGATTTATTACTAAGATTATTGTCCAATACTTAAGATTTACCCACTATACAATATTAGTTTATAAGAATGAAAGCAGTGAGCGTTAGTATGTTTCTCGTGGATCAGTAACCTTTCTTTGAAACAAATGATCTTCTATATATAGCTTTCAGTCTTAAGCGTTACTGCCTTGAAGAAAGTGTATGCATTAATGAAGCGTGTTGGTTTGGTCTTTATGTTTCCAATGTTCTCGTGTGTAGTACCACTTGAGTGTGTTAGCCATCTTAGCATTAAATGACCAATGGTACTGTCAGAGCTTATCTCTGGAAGTTTAAGAGTTTGCTTGCAGCGTTGCCACTTCAGAGTTTACTTAAACTTTTCTTCTATCAGAGTGTTCTTCATATTATGTTCATCATAGTTTTCTTCAGCTTGCATTATCATATGTTGCTTTCAGCGTGCTTCTTTCAAATCTTTGCTTCAGTTAGCTTTATCAGAGGTTGCTTAGGATTTCTTTTTCATCATAGTTTACCTTGGAGTGCTTCCTTCAGAGTTTGCTTTGACTTGCGTAGAATGATGTTTCTCTTTTGATATGCATGATTCAGAACATCATATGTATCTAGAGAACGTACACATCAGAGTATAAAGTATATTTTACAAAATTTATTTCATTGTTATCATTAAAACTCTAAGATATGATTAGAACCAAAATTTGTTCTAATAGGTTCCATGTCTAAGTTGTATTTGTATTGTTTCAAGAAGGCATTGGCAAGATCTGCCCATGTCTGGACATGACTCCATTTCAACTGCATATACCAATCCAAGGATGCCCCACTTAAACTGTCTTGAAAGAAATGAATCATCAACTTCTGGTCTTGAGCATAAGCATGCATCTTCCTGCAATACATGCGCAAATGGTTCCTTGGATAGGTGAGCCCCTTATATTTTCTAAAGTCAGGTACTTTGAATTTTGGCGGGATCACCACATCAGGAACTAGACCCATTTTGAGAGCATCAACATTGAAAGCATCATATCCCTCCACAACTTTTAATGTTTCTTCCAGAGCTTTGTACTCGTTGAGCACCATTGGATTCTCAGTAGCATGAGTACGAGTTGTTATTTGAGGTGCTTGATTGACATTCTCTAATTCGTGGTCTCTATATTGAAAATCTAAGTAGTTTTCTATGTTGTTAAGCAGAATCTGCAGGATATGAGATGCCCCTACCTTTGTGGAGGTGGGACAAACCCTTAAGTATTAGCTTATCCTGCTTCTTGTTGAGCCATGTTTGGCTTTTGAGGTCCTGCTTCCGGCTCTTCCCTTAGTTGGTGACTGCTCGATGCACCAATGGTCTGGGCTACTTCTTCTAAGGCTACCCTAGGGATTTGCTCATGTCTACCAATGATGTTCCTCAAGTCTATAATAATTTTACTCATGTCTCCTCTCATTGAGTCGAAGTTTCCTTTGACTTGATCAAGATCTTACTTGAATGCAGCTTGGTTCTCCTCAATCTGTTCTATCACTTTTTTTATGGGCTCTTGTATGATATGGTGGTCGAAAAGATGGTGTTTTTCTTCTACCAATAGTTTAATTGGAGAAGGTTTTGAAAAAATATGAGGTTTTTTTATGAATGAGATGCAAATGTTTTTGAATGATGAATGCTTATGAATATGCTAAGGGTTTCCTTTTGAATGTCTTATTCACTTGGATATATATATATATATATATATATATATATATATATATATATATATATATATATATATATATATATATATATATATATATATATATATATATATATATATATATATATATATATATATATATATATATATATATATATATATATATATATATATATATATATATATTTCAGGTTTTGTCTTTTTTTATTGGTGAGTATCTTAAAATGAACACGTAGAAACAAAAGTATTTCCATTAATAATAATCATCCTCAAAAGGGAATACATTTCAGATATTTAAATATATTTGAACTAAAAAAAGCAACTATTTGAAGCATCAACATCTTCACGACTCTTAATTTCTCCTTGATGATTATTATCTTTTTCATATATGACTTGACGATATTGATGCGAACAAGTTGTTTTCCTTTGGTATTCATTTTTCAGGACACCCACCAAAAACCTTTGGCTTATTACTTTTTTAACCCTGTGAATAAGACAAATAAAAAATAAATGGAGGATAAATATATGAAATGCAAAAATGTGTGAATGTATGAATGTAGGGCTTAGTGACGGGATTTTATGAAAGGTACCCTTAGAAGGTAGACTCCTAGTTTTGGCCTACAGATAGTTTATCCTCCCCATAAGGTGATTTTCTTAAGGGTATCATAAATAACACTAGAGAGAAAGGCACAAGGGCCTCCCTTAAGCAGAGTCTCTTTACAGACCAAAACTTTTGTCTCTAGGTCGTGAAATGTCTCGTCATGAGATTTTGGTATAATAGTTGTACAAAGAGTCATATGGGTCATTCCAAAGTCCTACTTCCAACGAGGATGTCTCTTGAGAGGTATTCCTTTCGTGGAATTCCACCGACTCTATGCGAAGTCGTCACATAAACTCATATGGCTGATGTATCCCCTTGGCTAATAGACGAACCTTCTTTCTAAGGGTTTTTTAGAATATTTTTTGTAAAATTTAAATCCCACCACAAATATAATATGATAAAATATAAAAAGCAAAATAAATGAATAAATAAATAAAGCAAAATAAAGAAAAACCAAAAAATAAGGAAAAACCTTACAACCTAAAGGAAAGGCTTCTAAACCTAGGGTTGAGTCCCCAACAAAGTCGCCAGCTGTTGTAACTGGTTTGAAAATTTGAAAATTCATAGTCGCCACCCTTAATTTTTATCCTAAAGAAGGGAATATAAAGGTTAACCCAAAAAAGTTAGTGATTTTAGGTTTTTGGACTCGGTTTTAGACGAAGGGAAGGTGTTAGGCACCCCTTAACTACCCTGTTTACAAGGATACTAGAGTTAGAAGCACAACTTTTAAGAAATAGGGTTTTAATATTTTATTAGGGGAACTCGCCACGATTTTAGTCGTATGCCTACATATTCTCTTATGAGGAATCAGAGTCACAATCTATAGTTCGCGATTGGTTGGTGTTTTTTATGGATTACGAAGATATTTGAATTTACAGTGTACTTAGTCTAAGTGTGTGAATAGCTGAGATTTTAGATGAAGCATGTCGTCGATTTAAATATATTCGTAATCCTGTTTGAAAATTAATTGTTGAATTAATTTGATTTATGAAAATGATTTGGTATTGGTTAAATATATTTTAGTGTATTTAATTGTAAAAATATCTTATTTAATGCATGACTAAATAATTTAATGCAATAAAATAAATAATATTTTGGATGAATTTAGAAAATAATATTTGATTTAATAATAGTAATAATAAATAATATTAAAACTTATAAATATTAAAACATAAAATAATTATGACAAAAATAATAAAGAAAACTAAGTTGAAATTGTAGCATCCTGATTCATTTGTTGAAATTTTATAACTCTGATTTTTATAATAACCGTCGGGTAGAATTGGGGTGTTACAAAGTTGGTATCAGAGCAAGTCAGTCCATTCAGACAAGTTGTCTAATGTTATTTGTTCCTTAGTACGCGGCAAGTGTGTGAAATATTGTCGGTGCTTGCTTGCTTTTCTAATCGCTTGTATGCAGGAGTTGGTTTGAAGATAAGTGGGGGAGAAGCTTTACTTTTCGGATATGTTTCAGTTGTAAGATGTTGGTTAAGTATGGCGACAGTGCAAGTATTGTTGAAGTTTTGTTGTTTCCCGAATACGGAGGTGACATGGATTTAAGATTTTGTTTTTTAATCAAGTTGAAATGTCTTGAGGGAGGATGATCAGACATTGTTGATGTTTACTTCTCGAAGGATGAGGAGAAATGTAACGATTGTTGATATATGAGTAGAGTGTGAATCCTTGATGTTTCTGAAGGTGATTGTTAAGTAACAAGGATAATTTTTAAAATATGGAATTTAGAAAGTTATGATGTTTCAGCGCTACTGGTGGATTGTGAAGTTGTCGGTTTGAGTATCCCTTGCATAAGATGTCGATGTTTGAACGGTGATAGAGTGATAGATTGCTGTAGACCTTGTGTGGGATCCTTGTGAGTGATTGTAAAAATTGTTGAAGTTGTTGGAATGTTCTGAATCGCGAGTCAGAGTCAGAAATGCAATGAGATGAGTACGATTTCAAGAAATAAGAATGGTAAGTGTTGGTACTGGTACAAAGAAATTTTGTTATGATGTTATCGTAAGATGTGTAATAGTATGTCGTTGCACGATGTTAGTGTTCGCATTTTCGAATAACTTTGGAAATTCATATCTTATGTTTCTCGTAAACATTTGCTGATTTTATAAGGATATTAATGTGGTTGTTGGTTGATGGTGAGTTGTGTGTATAATTGTTGAGTTATACTGTTAAGTTGATGTTATAATGGTTTTGTTCTTGTTACCGTGATGTTGTTGTTGGTTACCGTATAGGATGAATAGTACTCTATAATGTACACACGCATGCACGCACGCACGCACGCACACACACACACACACACACACACACACACACACACACACACACACATATATATATATATATATATATATATATATATATATATATATATATATATATATATATATATATATATATATGGGAATGAAATTGTGTATGTGTTTTGGTGTTGAAGATGTTGTTATGATGATAATGTGATGTTGTATATCCAAGTATAAGTATGTTACTACTTTAAAATGTTGATATGTCAAGATATTGTTAAAGTGGTTGATAAGTTATTAACGATTATATCGCGAATGTGTTGAATAATTAGCATGTATGTATTTGATTTAAATCGTGTTGAGTTATTGTTGTGTCGAGAAGTAGCGGTCGAAGTGTTGCAAGATGCGACTTGGGGATTAGAAAGTGTGATGCGAAATTCGCGTTAAGAGTGGTAGTATCGAGTAGATTTTCGAGGACGGAAATATTCTAAATGGGGGAGAGTTGTAACACTGTTAATTTAATTAATTATTTTATTAAATTATTTTTGGATTGTTTGTTGAAGTTGTGATATGTTGAGAATTGCGGTATAAGTTGTTAGATTATTATTAATTAATTAATTAGTTGATTAGTAATAATAATAATAATGTTGGAATTATTAGTATTAGTCGTTGGACTTATTTTGGTGGTATGTAGTATTAAGGAGGTGTGAGAAATAGGCCCAATAGAAATAAATCTATTATTGGGTTTAGTTATAATAATAGAAAAATAGGTTTTTATCAAGAAGAAAAGGAATAAGGGTTGGACGAGAGAAAGAGAACGTGGAAGTTGTAGAGAAGAAGGAAGAGAGGCAAAGTGGTGTTTGATCGAAAAATTATAGAGCGCTCTCCAATCCAAGGTAAGGGTGAGGTTCTGACTCTATAATTGGGTATACGATTAATGTTATGTGGGAGTTTTTCTGTAAAATTATCTAATAACTTTGATTAATATGATTAATGGAGGTTATATGATTGATATATGTGGTTAATTGGGGAAAAATATAGTCCCTGTAAAGTTGTTGTTTCGATGAACAATTGATGTTGTTGCAAAAATATATTGTTTTGGTATGAGACCGGTGATCGAAGGAAAAACTGGAGGGTTCTGTGTTGGTATCAGTAACAGAGAAGAGGCCGCGTGAAAACCTGCTGTGTCGAGGGCCACAATTAGTGTAGCGAGGGGCACGAGAAATTCGACTGTGACGGACGTCACAAAGGGCGTGCCGGGCAGCACAGTTTGGTGGTGTAAGTGCCGAGCGGCACAACTTGTGTGCCGAGGGGCACATCGTGTGTCTGTTACTTCGTTTGGCCTATTTCCTGTGTCTGTCCTGCATATTTGTTATTTGTTGATTTAGTACTTAGTTACAAGAAGGTATGTAGCATGTTTAAAGGAAAATGATTAACAATAGAGATTATTTATCAGTAACAGAAGTGAATAATTGGGAGATTAGCATAAATATAGTAGGCAGGATTAATGAGTAACAGAGTTAGTAAATGTTAGCAGGAAATTAATTTAGCAGAAATAACAGAAAAGCTGTTATAAATTAAAATAGCAATAGAAATAATTTAAGTAGCAGAATAATGATGGCTTCATTAATTTAGCCGAAAACTATTTATAAGGCTTATCCGTAGAATAATTTAGTGGAAGTACTTTAGTAGGAACATGTTAATAACATTATTGGCATGTGTAAGTTGTTGTGTTGTTGTTATTAATTATTGAAGTTAAAGGTAATGGTGAGTTATGTTGTGTTGCATCTATAATTGAAAATTATTAAGTTGTAGGCTTATGGCCAATATTGAATTAAGTTGAATTATTAAGTTGTATGCTTATGGCCAATGTTGAATTAAGTTGAATTATTAAGTTGTAGGCTTATGCCAATGTTGTTATGTTGTTTTGTTGATGTGGCATATAATCATGTTGTCGCATACATCACATATCAAGTTGGAGCTGATGCTCGTTAAGTTGGTCTGAATTGGCAAAATATTAAGTTGAAGGTTTATGTCTTGTTGATGTCTCTATTAATTGGCAAGATTTCTAAGTTGTGAGTTCTTCTTCATTGGTACCACATTGCATGTGTATAGTAATGAGTTGCATTCCACGTTGCATATTTGAGTTGTTGTGTTGATAAACTATTTAATTATGTTTCATTGATGTTATGTTGTGATTGATGTTGTTCAAAGTTGTGAAGAGGTGATTTTGCATAGACTAATTCTAATGTAATATTTATCATATATTCGATTATATAGTTCGATATCTCACTCTTCTGTTTGAATGTTACTCCAATGTTAGTAACGTGCAGGTAATCTAGAGTGAAGACGGTTTACCTTCAGTAGTTCGAGTCAGTGTCATTGCTCTGATACGTAACACTCATGAGGATGAACGCTAGTTGTTTTATTATTGTTATTATTTCAGTTGATTGAACCTTAAGTTGTTGTTCGTTAAGTATTTATTATTTGAAGTTGTTTAGTTGAACAAAGATGATATATTCTTTAAGTTGAATATTTGATTCCGATGCGTAGTTATGAAAGTTGCGGATTTTAAAAGATTAAATTATGTTGTTGTTGGTTCATTCCAGTTTAATGTGTTATGTGTCTGTAATGAATGTCGTGGGTTTTAGAGTGAAATTGTAGCATCCTGATTCATTTGTTAAAACTTTATAACTTTGGTTTTTATAATAATCGTCGGATATAATTGGGGTGTTACATCTACCATCACAATGGCGGCGGTAGTATGTAGATTTTTGCTCTTCAACATTTTTTATTCAATTGTGCTCTTCAACATAAACTTGTGAATGATTGTAGTTGAAATACCGTGACTGATTAAAATTTACCTGCTTGTGGCTGGTGGTTGGCTCTACAGAAAGTAAAAGATAACATGTTTAGCAAAAATTATAAGAATTATTGAGAAACTTCTGATGTGGGACTTATGCCATGATAACTGCACACTGCAAAACTCACATTCTCTTTAGCTCGTCATTGTGTGTTCCTTTCAACTAAATCTGCAATTTCAGAAAAATTTGTTTTCTGATATAAATTTGTTTTATGAAATAAATTTATATTTTAGGCTATTTCAACGTACAGCCAAGTAGTTCTAGCATGTTACTTAATGTAGCAAGTCAATAATGACCATACTTATGCATACTAAGCATCTTAAATTTTCTGATTGTCAGATTTCTAAAAGAGTAAAATAACGCACAAGCATACATAGAATACTTTTTTTCAATAAAATTTCTCACAAGTTTTCTTTAGATGAAAGATGCATGAAACACTCTTTTCTATTATTCTAATCTATATGAAATTGTTCATAATTCTCTTCTAAGTGATTGCTAGAGGTTTGAATGCACGAAGAAGCAGACACGTTGAATGTAGTTGTATCTATTAGTGTGGTTAATTTGCTGGCAAAATAATCTCACATGTGATGTTAACAACATTAGTGTTTATAAAACAAACACTCATGTACAATATTTAAATTGAAAACATGTTTAAAGTAAAAGGGCCAAAAGTCCAATAAACTATTAATTAATTTTTATTTAAATAATTATTAAAAATAATTTAAAAATAAAAACATAAATATTAATTAATATATATTCTATAAAAATTAAAAATAAACAAAAAAAATTACGTAGATTTAAAAAATAAAAATAAAAGTCACGCGGTTAATATAAAAATATCACAATCTAAAAATTATAAAGGTTTTTTTTTATTTAAAAACTTTATTAAAAGATAAAACCTATTTAACCCTTTTATGTATGGCCTCTAGCATATATATATAAATATATATGACCAGAGGGGTGGAGGATCGGTAAAAAAAATCTCAATTTCATTTGTAAAAAGAGGGATTCAGAGGAGAAGTAAGAAGAAAAAGATGATTTATCGGAAGTGGAGTCTCCTTACAGGTCCGACGTCCATCATCGGTGGTGTAGTAGCAGCCGTCGCCGTCGCTAACTTCATCTTGGTCAAGAATGTAATTTTCTTTCTCTCTATTCTTTCTGATGTTAATTCTCTCCGATTTATATTTGTTGAAAAGGATTGATTCTTCATTTTATTGTGTTCAATTCTATCATTTTCTTTTGAAAGTTTTGTTTAGTTAGGCTTTGTTTGGTGTTTGGATTGATAGAATTTCATGGATCGGGGCCGGAACAAGATTCAATTAAATGATATTTCATTGTTTGGATAATTTAAAATCAGATGGAGCGATATGGAGCGAAATTAGGTGGTATGAATTTCATTCTATTATATTCATTCATGCGGAATGAACAACTTGTCTTGTTCCGTTCTAAAATTTCCAAACAATAGAATGAAATTAAATTTCGTTCTACTCCGCTCCATTCTGCTTAATTCGACTGCTCTATTCCGCTCTGTTGATTTTATGATTGGAATGTCCAATACAAAGACAGTTTCGTATGATTGAGTTAGGTGAAACCTAAATTTAAAGAAATCGGTTTGGTAGGACTGAGTTGGGTCAAATCCAAACTTTAAAAAATTGGCTTTATAGGTTTGATTTTGGCACAAAAGTTTAAGAAGCATTGTGTTGCATCTGAATCTTTTATCAGTTGAAACTTTAGTAGTTGTTACACTAGTGAAATTAACTTCCTCTATTGTACTGTCCAGGATCCATTCACTAAACCAGAGGAGAGGAAATTTGGAAATCAGCCTGCAACCAAGTAGTAGAAAAGATGTCACAGTGTTTTGTGTTTTGATGTATGAGCCATGTTGTATACGGTTTTGCAAAACATGTTCTCTTAGTTAATAAATTCACAGGTGTCAAACGAAGTCTGGACTCTGGAGCATGGACCCTAGTTTAGAACAAACCTGCAAAAGTTATAGAGAACTTGTTCATGTTTCAGAGATCCATACTTGTTCTTTTGTAAAACAATGTCGAATGGAAATGTTTAATAATCTTCCATTTCATTTCTTTTATCTTTGTGAATTTTTCTATTAAAAGCTTTCATTGCAATTTATTTATGCCTAAGCTCTCGCATTTCTATACTAAATGATTGTTTTGTTTAATTGTTATATCTTGAAGAGACTGCTTATAAAAATCAAAGACACGCAACATTGATGTTTATGTCTTGCATATATGGTTAACTTTTCGCATAAAATAAAATAGGCATATATTCATTACAAAAATTATGGTGAAAATGACATGAACTGAGTTTTTGCATGACTGCTAAGGTTTACATATTCTGCACCAAACTGATAAGGTTTCAATTGTCTTCTGCATATTTTCATTATGCTATACAGTTTCATATACACAATGGATCCTGAATTTCAAATGATCATTGTTATATCCATCAAACTTCAAACCTATGTGATTCAGTGACATAATTAACCATTTACTAGCATTTCCATTACTATATCATTCCATGAGTCAATTGGTCCTGGTAAACACCAATGTAAACAATCATTCTGAACTTTACCATTCTTATCTTTCGCAAATGGTTGAAACTCTCTATAAGGTCCTGGATGTCCATCTGGTCTCAACAAAGAAAGAAAAGTCGTGTCCAAAAGTTTCAACTTCACACCATTCTCAGATCCTACCGATGTTATAGCCTTCTCATACTCTTCAACTTCAACACCTCTCATGATAGAATCTACTTCTACCATACTAATTTCACCCTCTTTAAAAGGTACAGTTCTATTACAATACCCTCCACTAAACCATTCACCATTTTCAAAGTGATCCGGTGTGGTAGTTCTAAACAAAACCGTCGCATCATGGCTAGAGTTCTTGGTGAAGAAGTTGAAAACAAGTCGAAGTGCTTTTCGGTACGCGTAGTCGAACCCTAGATCGGTCAAATTCTTTCCAGGGCAGTAATGACAGCCAGCTACCGTGTTGTTTTCATGATATACCGCAGATTTGAGAAACCATTTTCCACCACCAATTACAACATAATCAAAAGTGTTGAATTGTTTAGTCCATTGTTCATCAAGAATATCAAGATAAAGCTGTACCATTGAAGATGAAACTCCATTCATGTCTTCATGAATAGCTGCTTTAACTAGGAAAGGTGTCCATATTACTGATAATGTGAAGTTATGAGAGGCAAATTTCCATATCTTTGATCTATATTCTTTGTCATGATAAACCTCAACAGCTTGTTCCACCTGTGTAAGAGTGAAATCATTGGAATTTGATTTAATACACATTTTGTAGGACCAATTCTCGAGACATTACATGATGCAACAAATAGATAAAGTGATAAATCATGTATATTTGTGGGGACAAAGGTGATGAAAATAAAGAATATAGACAAACCTAAACGTGCAAGACAAAACTGAAACAGTACACAATATTTAATGCATGGTTTTCAGTTGATTAAAAAAAGTAGTTTAGTGAAGAACACAACATACAACATGGTCAACATATAGTAGTAGTAAGTTTTTGCATTAATTTTCACAAAGATTGTGTTTTTTTCTGGTTGAAAACCATGCCGTATTCAATTTAGGTAAACCATTTTGGAAAAGACAGTGGACCAACTATATGTTACTACTTATTAGCACCAGCTGTATTCCAGAATCAACAGCTTTATTGACAATGACAAGACTTTTAGCATAGTTTTTGTAAATTGTAGTAATTTCAAAAACAATCGATATATCAAGATTGAAACCATCACAAAAGCATCGCAACCGCAATCATGGTCGCACAAACTGTCTTTAAGAATATGTAAGTCAGACTATCGTACAAGATCCAAAAAATTTCACGATTAAATTATAATTAAATAAGATCTTATAAAATATTTATAACTGTTTAATCGTATTTAAATATGATATTGTCATGCTTAAATTGTGTTTAACGACTATGTTTGAATTGATTGAACAAAACATAGTCGGGTTCCATTTTTTAAGGGGTTGCAAGGCGGCATACAGCAAAAAGGTCCTCCCGACACATATTCTATCATTCGATTGAAGTTAACTTCAACTTCTTACGCTGAATCTCTAAAAAGTTTGAGAAGGCTCTAAGTAGTAAGGAATGGAAATTGTATATAGCAGACAAGAAAGTAAACAATACCTGTGAAAGAATACAAAGTAGGGACTGAACATGGTTGCGTGAGATAGAATCCCCAACAAAAGCCATTGCTTTATTCCTCATTCGATTAAGAAACTTGTTTGCTTCAAACTTGGGTAATTCACACTCTTTTGGGGTCCATCTCCAATAAAGGTACCCCAAATCAGGTTTTCCATTCTTCATACAATTTTGATGAGGCTCAATCACATGACAACTCTCATTTGTGTACATTGGTTCTGATGAATCAGAAATCCAATCTCCAACAAACAGATTACATTTTCCTGAACCTAAACATTCGCACAAAACAAACACCACCTTAAAACATTCACATAAAACAAACAAACATCACCTTAAACAACACAAAATAAACAATTTATTCACACAAAAAAAAAAAACAAAAAAAAATGAAAAGTTTGTTACCATTGAAAGAGGTTTGATTCTGAATGTTGAATTGAAATGCATCAGATTCTGGTGCTTGAACAGGAGATGAAACGACAGGGGACACTGTTTGAGGGTGTGGTTTTTGAAACTCTATGAATGATGATAAACTGAAGGAATCCCAGAAGAGAAGACGAAAAGCAATACCTACAAAGAATAACGATGCTCCGAATTTAACACAGTGTGAAAATGGGATTGAATGTTTTTCAGAGGTTTCTCTGTTCTTGGCCATTTTTGCATTGACAAGAGAACGTTAGAGGGGGTTAACTAGAAAACAGGGGGTTGTTGAGTAGTAATTAATTTGGTTTCAGACAAAGTGAAAAGTGTTCTGTATCGTAGTTACCACAAAACCAGTGAAAGAAGTTGTATTTAACTTTTTAAGAATTTAATAATAATTTAAATGCATATTTTTTTAAAGATAAATTCTTTTAATTTTGTAAAAAAAAGAAGATAAATTCTTTAATACTTTTAAAATAAAACAACATTAAAATATAACATGAAAATGATATTATTTTGTTTGACGAAGATATTGATATTTAACTAAATTCAAATGTTTATAAAAAAAAAAACTATATTCAAAAGTATTGAAGTGTCATCAATTTTTTTAATATAATATTAAATTTCATTTTTATTTTAAATTTTATCTTATTACATTTTATTAAAAATAAATAAAAAAAATAAAAAAATATTATCGATGTTAAATAATTTTAGATTTACTTTAATTAAGTATGATGTATTCTGCCAAATCATGCGTGTATTTTAAAAATAATGATATGATACGATAAAGAAATATTTTTATTGAATGACTATTATGTAAAAATATTTCATACTATTAGTGTATGTTCAAAATTCGATAATTAATATTTATTTTGTATTCTAGTTTATTAATTTCTAACATATTCACATTTAAAAAAGAAGTTTAAGAGATGTGATATAATAAATTATATGATTAAGTTTTTATTAAAAATTAAATTTTAAATACTATATAAAAATGATTGCCAATCTTGAAGAAAATACTATATAATTCAATATTTATAATTACAGGTTAATATTTATAAAATTGGAGGAAGAAAGTTCTATTTGAAGATGGTTTTTAGAGACCTTTCAACTCAAGTGATACATTATATATATGATTAAGGAGGTAGAAATTGTTATTCAGGTGCATTTATTGTTAGAAATCAAACATGTTCAATGGTATCATCACGAGGGCAATTGAAATAAGCTCAATTGTGGTGGTGTTTATAAAAAAATTTAATTCCACTACAGGATGTAGAGGCTTACTTAGAGATTCCTTTGAAAATTGAGTGATAGGTTATGCGCAAAAATTTGATTTGTGTGATGTTCTCATTGTAGAAGCGCAAATAATTTTGTATTAGATTGAGCTAGTTTTGAGGGACAAAATCACAAATCTGGTGGTCGAAAGTGACTATAAAGTCCTAATAGATATGATTAATTAAGAGATTGGGGATGACCACAACTTTTCAACTTTAATTCGTAGAATAGAATGATAACTTAGAAGAATTGACACATTAAATTCAATCATACTTGGCGAGAAGGAAATCGTTGTACATATTAATTGAAAAACCAATTATAATCTTATTTTAAATAAGAGTGAACTTCTCAGTCTTGTGAATCTCGTCTCGAATGAATTAAATTTCATTTTAACTAATGATAATTCTGAAGTCTCGTTCTCTAAACATGTTAGACTATGTTATTAGATTTTTTCTTCCTTTTCTTTAAACCTTTAGGCTCTCTTTTATACCAAAAAAATAAAATCACCCAAGTCCTTAAAGTTTAAAGTTTAAAATATTAAAAAATAATAAATTTTAATAAACTTAGATTAATTTATTATTATTATTATTATTATTATTATTATTATTATTATATATATATATATATATATATATATATATATATATATATATATATATATATATATATATATATATATATATATATATATATATATATATATATATATATATATATATATATATATATATATATATATATATATATATATATATATATATATATATATATATATATATATATATATATATATATATATATATATATATATATATATATATATATATAAATAAATTAAATAATTTAAGTCGAGACAAAAATATGACAATTTGATTTTTTTTATTAACAATTGAAATTTAGTGTAAGACTTTTAAATTTATATTTGGTGTCAATGAATTTTAACTCTTATCATGAGTCAGGATACATTGACATCAGATGTAATTTTAAAGTATCACACTAAAATTCAATCGTTAATAAGAATGGATCAAATATTCATTTTATTTTTTCATATAAAAAAGCTACTTTTTAGGAAGAAAAACCATATATGTTTTGTTATTCTTTTTATTTACTTTAATATCATCGTTTGATTCCTTTATATTAACGGTTGATATTTAGTGTAAAAATGTTAGACTTATATCAGATGTCAATGGATTTCGACTCTCTTTTATTAGTATATAATCTTTTCAAAATTTTATAATATTTATTACTAAAATGTAAACTATTTCCATCAATTCAAATATTTCTATATGTTTTTAAATAATTTCATCCTTTGGGACCTCCAAAGTTATTTCTTCTCCTCGTCCTTTGGGACCTGCTGCAATTGAAACTATTTATTCTTCTCATCCTTTGGGACCTGCTGCAACCGAAGCTATTTCCTCTCCTCTTCTTATGGGATCTCCTTCAAATCAGGTTTTGGAATCTTCTCCACCACATGAGATTCCTAAACTTTCCCGCCAACAACCAATTTCTTCTCCCCGGATCAAGTCAAAGGGTAAGGTTTATACACAAAGAAAAGAAGATCAGGAGGAATAGTTTGATCCAATCCCAGTGCTTTATGCTCACTTGTGTCCACGCTTGCTTAAGTTTCACTTGACTAAACTCCGTACTGCAAAACATATGCGAATTTCCCTCATAACAAGGATGTCGATGCTCATTGTGATTTCCTTTATGGAATTATTGGTCATGATACTGAACACTGTAAGGATTTGAAGCATACGGTCCAGGATTTGCTTCAATTAGGGACATTCATGTTCACTCCAGACGGTTTGAACATTCAAGTCAATTATATCCCAACCGCAACAAAGAAAGTGGCAACTTCTTCTCATTCTCGAGGTTTCACTTCGTATCTCAGGTCGCCTAAATTATAATCATGGACAGGTCATAAGAAACAAATGCTACGTCAGAACAGATATCACCCCCTATGCTCCTCCAGGTCAACAGAAGATAAGGGAGCCACTAAGAAAGTTTGACCCGATGCCTAACGGCCAATTATTGACTCGCTTGTTTGAACTTAAGTTGGTCGAGTTGAAAGAGCTTCCTTCTACCCTGTCAAGGATTCTTGAAGGGTGCAAAAGGAAGGTTTGTGAATATCACTATGGGGAATCTGGACATTCAATTGAGGATTGTTGGGCATTCAAAAATAAAGTTCAAGACTTGATTAACTCAAAGACTATTATGTTCACACTAGAAAAGGATGGAAATCCTATGCTCAAGTAAGCATCAAAACTGCAGTGCATCTTCTGAATCTACAAGTCCAGACGGAGTTCAAGTCTCTTATACAATGGCAATCTTTTGTTCTTTACTGCATTTTCATTTGTATCTTGCTTGATTGTTTAAACATTGTCTGCATGTAGAAAATTGTTTCTTTTTTAATATTAATCTTAATACAATGATTATGTTTGTCTTGAAGTAATTCATTCGTTTTTACTCATCCATTTGTTATCACTCTTTAATTGTTTTGCTTGCATATTGATGCCAATTTTTACTAAAGTCTTTCTCCTAGGAAAATATTGGAGGGAGGATGACGATAATGAAAGAATGCAAAAATCATTGGTTGTATGCTTTTGAATAAAACCCTGTTGATAATGTACAAGCATTGTTTCAAATCCCCAAACACTCAAGATATAAGGGAGTGAAACTCTCGTTAACCCTTTTGAGCCTTAAAGCAAGAGTTTCTTTTATGTTAAAAAAACTTATTTTTGAACCAAGGGGCAGGTAGTGTTCAGTTAATGTGATCGAGCGTTCAAAATTCATCAGGAGTGCACATCTGAGGATCAACCATAATGGGTGTTATCCTTCAAAAGGTTGAGGAAAGCCGAAACTGCAATGTTAACTGATAAGTGCAAATTGTAGATAATTTTCTATATACTTTTTGTTTCACTTATCGACTTTTTGTTGTTAATATCATTGAATAAACCCGACTTTTATGTAAATACATTTAGTTTATGTTTATTTGTGTTTTTGTGTACATAGTGTACCGTTTGATGATTTTTCCATTCATTTTATAGGTATTTGTTGCATTTTAGAGCATTGAGTAATAAGATGTCGAAGGCACGTCTCTGGATACGCGTTTTTGGAATAAAAGACCAGCTTTGCCCAGGAGAGCCCGCTTAGCGCGCAGAAGGCCGCTAAGCGCGAGTGCGCTCAACACATTTTTTAGCACGATGCTTGCATTTTGACATTTTGGCATAACCAAAGTTTTGAAGCCCGCTTAGCGCAGATATTGCGATTAGCGCGATTTAGATCAGTTTAATGTGTAAATTAAAGAAGTCGCACTTAGCGTGCCAGGCCCGCTTAGCACGGTCTGCTGAGATTTGTTTTATAACTTCATTTCATTCATTTTTAGGGGATGGTTTTTGGGGATTTTTTTTCTCCAAACTCCAATTTTGTTAGGATTATCTTAGATAACAACTATGGAGCTTACATACAAATGATCTGGAATGGATTGTTCTTCGACCGGCTCTGACAAACTGGTAGATTTGCGGTTCATTTCTCTTTTTCTATGTGTATTCTCTATTGGTTGGGTTTGTACATGTATTTACTTTGAACTCATGTATATTTTTCGCCCTTGGTGTTATATAAAACTTGCTTTATAAATCTTTGTCAATTGTTATCCTTGATTTTTGCTCTGTGCTAGGGATTTAAGTTGTTGTAGATATATACTGCTTAGATTCTTATCTAAGACGATTATCTAATAGTGTATGAATTCTAGAGATAGATTTAGCGTTGTTATTAACTTAGAGTGTCTGGGATTAATGTCTTTGTTTTGTTTGTGTCACTCTGAGAGATCGTCGACGCAAGTGAGCACGACTGACTTCTGTGTTGTTAAGGTGGTTGAGAGATCGCTACCGAGGTGATGCAATCGTCCTCTCAATTTGGGTTAGAAATGACTTAGGTTGTGTTTGACACGTGATAACATTG